CTGATTATAATTTGTATCAAGCAATGTTTGGAAACTGTCTTTGCTTAGCTTTTTATGGAGATAAAATTAAAACTCATTATTTGTTAGTTCATTCTTAAAATCCTCCAAACATTTTTGACTCAGAGTCATTGCGATTGTATTGTTTGTTTTCTATGTTTTTGTTGAGCAAGAGGTTACATTATAAAAAGCAGTGAGGACATGTACTAGTCACTGTTCACTGAATGTCTCATTTGCATAATAACAACTTATTATCTCACTTAACAGAAAACATCCAAAAACATCATCTAAAAGAAACACTTCAGGTAAGTACAAACCTGGGCATGTGTTGAATATTTGTATTTACACAGTATTTACTCATTTAGCTTAGTACAATTTATTAAGCATTGTTTATTTGTCATGTTTTAAAGGACAACAAGGCCAAGACAACACAGGGTACTCCAGTGAGGTAAAGTCATCGCTGCCTTTACATGCACTTCAGTAGCCAAGATACTTAATAGTGAAATCATGTTGTGCGTTATTTGAGGAATTTGTTTACATGCCTTACTCATTATCTAAATGACAGAATTTCAAAAAGAGGTGACAAGATTCCTTAAGCGTTTGGATGGACGTTCTTTAACATTAATACCCTCTGTTGTCTTGTCTAGGAGTTGAACTATGCAGATGTCCGCTTTGTGAAGAACAAAGGTGGTGGGAAAGTCCAGGTGGATTCACAGAACGACTCGTCAGAATACGCCCAAGTCCGAGTAAACAACGGCCGTCCCGCAGCAGCCTCTCCTCCCAACTATGATGCCCACATGCAGCGAGTGAATAGACAAGCTAATGCTAGCGATATATAATGTTAAGATGCAAAAATTGATCGATTTGGATACAATGCAGAAAGATATAAAGAAACCTGCACCTCCCCCCTTCAGTTCCTGTATGTCAGACCTATTTAGGCTTCAGTTTATCTAGTCAAAGCACTTTAACTGTGGTTAATCATCAACCACTTCTGGCCGCTGTTGCCAAGACAGAGGTCAGAAGGCCCGTCATTTCCTTAATGCTTGAACTAAGATCCATGAACTAGCTCTCCTGTGCCTTTGTTCACCATTTTACGTGTATACATAACGCGAGATGCAGACGTCGTTCTGTAATACTATTATCTGAACATGCTGTATTTTTTAGTTAAGGCGCATAGAGGAGTATAAAACCGTCTGACTCCACATGCGTACTGTGTGATTTCAGTGGAGGTTCTAGATTGCAGCTCGTAAGTTATGGATTGATTCTTACATTTATTTATATCAGCTACACCAGTACGGTATATGATGCACTGATAAGGACGTGGATACTCCCGGAGCTTTTAAATTTGTCATTCTTACAGGGAACTGGGAGCTTTGCAGCGATAAAAAGATTTATATAAAAGTTAGCTGCATTATCCCAAAGAGAAAAAGGTCTCCTGTCACAATAAGCTGTAATGCTGGCATGTCAATAATGACAAGCGATTTCTCTCCAGTTCTACTTGAGCCCCAAACAAAATAACAGCATACAGCTAATGTTTCAAAGGATCTCAAAGTTCAGAAACACTCCAGTGGTTATGTGGTGATACAGCTATAATAAATGCCTTAAGTCTTAAGTCCATCCAGCCAGATATGCGGAAACTGCGGCGTAGTTCTGATCAAGCTTACGGTAAATGTCAGAAAATGACCTGATGATGAAATATGTTGCTTCCTCTAACAGAATATTACAACAGTCGGATTACAAAAGGGATGACAGTTTATATTGCCACGTACACCTGCTGTTGACATCGCGTCTAACTAACACGTATCTTTTAAAATGTCAGTTGACACGTGTAACAGAAACCTTTTGTAGCTTAA